ATATATAATAATTAATAATTTATAATCAGTTACAAACAAGTTCTTGTTCGTTTGCAACAAAATGTGTATGTGTGTGTGTCCTTGGTTTTTATTTTCATGAAACTTTGATATCAGATTTAAAAGACTTATTTTTCCGCGTTCGATGCACGTAACTTTCTCAAAAGGAGATTGCCCAACACAAACAGAAGATAATCAAACCATCACAAACGCTTTCTTACGCGACGCGGTCTAAATAGAAGCGAATTTCCTTGCACCCGAATAAAGAATTGGTACAGCGAGAGAGAAATTCCTTACAAAGAGAAAAATTGCAAAACCGCGCAAGAGGAAAATTAAGAAGCGCGCAATTAACTTTCGAGCGCCCGCCCGTAATCGAAAGATTAGAAATCTCGCGGTTATACCGAAAGAACGTTGGATTGAAATTTTATGTACGAATTTCTCTAATCGTTAATTTTCAACGCGGACGGAAATTAGATGGAAATATGTGCAAGTGTCAACGTACACACATCGCGCGAATGGTGCTAAGAGCGAGCAAAAAAGCATGCCCCGAGATCGTGTTGTCCTAGTTGTCTTTTTATCTGGACTCCGCGTGAGAGGAGAGGAGGAGATACCTGTTCACTCTCTCTACGTCACGCGACGTCTAATCTATGAGAAAGTTGAAGGCGCTCTTTGGAATCCGTTGAGATTGTACGTCTACACTCGGTGAAAAGTACGATCGTACAAATTATATTTTCACCATTATACGAGCAGGAAATAGCGTGTCCACGTAACGATTCGTATAATTCCAAAGTTTCGATCTTTTCTACGCATTACAGCGTTTCGCGTACATTTATTTATTTATTTATATTTTGCGATAATAATAATGATACAGTGATTATATTAGATCGATACAAAAATAATGATAATGCCCACAAATAAAAAAATGTATATGTATTTACACAAAAATTACATATACTATTAATTTAGCAGTATTAAATTTTTCCAATAATCTGTTTTAATATTTATATGACCGGTTTAAAAATCGATGTCTAAGAAACTTATTACTTATATATGCGTTAACCTACTAAATATATTTATATCTCTTAATAAATATGTAAATATTGGTATATGAGAAAACACACATTCTTAGTACTGCGTTCTTTACGAAGATTTTTACAAAATCTATGTGCAAAACTGCAGATCACATTGCTAATGAAAAGAAAAGCTGCATTTCAATAGGTACAAATTTTACACTCATACATAAGCTTTTATATAAATTTATACTTTTGATATCTAATGAGTATATATTATGTTAATTATGCAGTACAATGGATAGTGCACTTATTATCTCGCGAACAATTAAAAATAGAAACAGACAATATCATTTAATAACATAATTCTACAATCTGTAAAATAGATGAAGACGCGTGTTATACTCGTTTATTAAATTAATAAAAAGATTTAGCTGTTATTATTAAAATCATTAAATATATACACAGATATGTATGTATTGTATGTATATACTATAGAAATATTTTTGTATAGATATTCTTGAATAATTAATTCAGAGAAACTAGTATGAAAGATTGATTTATATAACGCTCTGCGTGTATGTTTAATTAATTAAAAATTCTTCTTCTTAATATTATTGTACCTGACAAATCTTCAATTTAACAATTGACAGTAAATTGAATAACTGTGAAATGATAGCAAAATGATAATATTTCGCTATTACGTGTGCATCACATTATGGAATTTATGCGATAGGCCAAGTTAATCGGTCTATAAGTGCATCAATTATTAATTTATCGATCTTACTTATGTTATCACTTCCTTAGATTTACCAGAACAAAGTCCTATTACTATTGTAAAGCACCGCTTTGAGAATAAGATGACATTGAATTCATCGAGCGAGATGTGCGTTCAGTACCAACTTTGATGCAGAGTTTGTTTGCCACTGCATCAATTATTCGTCTGATTGCGCATATGTAACATTCAAACGAATTATTTAATTGATTTATCATTAATCAATAATATTTATTACAAGTATATTACGAAAACATTTTTAATAACTATTTTCATAATTTTTTTCTATAAAAAATGACTACAATACTTTATTATATACGGTCTTATTTTTGTTATAAATTTCTCGTTTATGATACAAAAATTTTTGTTTTTTTAATATTACAAAAAAGGCATATGATATTATCTCTTAAAATCTGTTTATAATTTGATTATAAAAAAATTAATTAATACTTCAAATATCATTATAAATAAAAAGTGATTTACGAAACGTACCCTGCAGAACGGCTATCGACAGTTTTGCAGACAGTCGAAGAAACGGAGAGTCACATCGAAGTCTCGTGGCTGGTTCTATTGGCACATTGGCAAACTTCTCGCATGTGCGAGTCTCCACCACGTATTAAATCGCAATACGATCGACCGTACTGAGCGCGGCGAGCAGAACACTGGCAGTGAGCGGCGGCGACGACGACGATGACGACAACGACGGCGACAACGGCGGTGGCGACGGGCACGACGTCAGCCAGGGTCGCTCCCGATGCGTGCCGCATGAGGAACCCACGCTCAGAAACCGCTCAAGTATCCCCCTTGCACGTTCCAGATATAAAGGGGAACGAATTAATACTTTCACTATTGCTCGGACAGCGAGTGTCCGTTCTGTTTTCCGTAGGTTCGGGATCGGTCGATCACCGAATAGCCTTCATATATATGATTATATAAAATTAATTTACAAAGATTTAATATCTTATCAGTAGTATGCATATTGTTTTTTTTTTTTATATTTTACAGAGTTGATCTTGGCAAGATTTTCTTGTTGGAGGGATTCCTTTTTCATTTGCTACTTTACACTTTTGTTCTTCCAACATTCTTCAAAAGATTTCTTTTCAAAAATTATATAAAATTTCTGGTTTGATATTTGTGAAAACTTGGTCTGTTTTGCCTCAAATCATTTGAATAAAATATTCTTACATTTATCACGGATTAATACTTGATCATTAAATCATGACACACGTCTCTATCCATATATATACATCTCTCTTACATTCTTATTTAAAAATTTTTATTTATAGTTTTAGCAAAAGTTTCTCCATTATTTTCGAGCACGAAGTATTTTCTCGTTGAAGGCGCAAAGATCGCGTGCAACAAAATTTTTAGCAGCATACATCGATTTCATGTTACTTTCACATAAGTTGTTTCGCGCTGACATTGAAGATTTGATAGACGCTTGTTGGGTGATTAAGACTTTCGAACAAAGCCAACATTGGTACGATAATATTGTTACAACGCTGGCACGAATCTTCAATTACATGTTTGTAAACGGTAAGTAATATGATAAATATATGTATAATATGAGACGTGGGTAATCATATCGGCTCATTGTGCGCACGCTCGAATCTGTGACTGACCGCGAAGAAAAAAAAGATTCGCTATTATTATCTTATCATCATGTGAACTTTATTATATAAAGGGCTAATGCTAAAATATACACAAGATAAGTTATTAAAAATGTTCATTATTGCGGTAGTAATAATTAATTATACACATGAATAGAGTCATCTTCTCTACTAGAGGTGAACGATGATCAATTTTCTTTGAGGACTATAACTTTTAAATACCAGATTCGACGTGTTTACTCGTAATTAAATTACAGCAAATACACGTTCGTATGAGACAAGGTCGGCGTAAACAGCGGGCCGCCGTATTACATACTAATCGATTTGTGTCTGTGTTGTGTATGTGTATTGTGTTTATGTGTTTCTTCTCTAAATTCTTTTAATCGCCCCATCAGCTTGCCATATTTAAGCACCGATTACATCGAGACGCTTCGTTATAACGCGTGCTTTACATGTTTTCGCAAGACAAAGTCGTTTTACTTATGCACTAATTAAGTAATTATATTTTATGACGTATCAGATTTTATTTATCTATGATTAGAAGCCAAAACACATTGCTAGCACCATCAAATAGTGCAATTATGTAGTTTTATATAATCTTAAACAAACTATCGAGCTGATAATGACATTTCGCAATTTAACGATACATCTTGTTCATTTTGTATATAGCTAGGTTTTTTTAAGAAATAATATGTAATCACATCGCTTTACTCTTACAGCCACAATATATTAGAAATACAATATTGAAAATATTGCAATGTTTAAATAAGATTTTATTTTAATCTATTGTTTGTTCAGCAGAATGGATAGTACGATCGTGTGACAAATTTATTTTGTGGATGAAAGGAAAAACATCGGGGGAAAGGAGCGATCACGAGAACTAAATTAAAATAATAATAATAAAAAATTGCCGTTTAAACAAATGCAAAACAGCAATAAAAGTATAGATATGAGTAAACTAACGTCGCGACGGATGATGAATGTAATGCGAATCCCTGACTCGCAAAACGCGACGCACATCTTAATAATGTGTATTTATATACTATAGTACGAGACGAATCGCCGAGATTTTAGGAATCCGATGGCAATCTCTTCACGTCGTCGAAATATTTGTCGCCTAATTTATAACGCGATTTATATATGAATTTAAATAATCGGAACTTAATCGCTCCCTTATTTACTGATAAATAGTGACATCTACAGTTTCTCATATCAGCTTGAAAACTGATAGCCAAAAGGGATTACGAGCGTGACATAAGCTATTCACACTCTTGTTATCTCCGATAAATTACATAGTGAAGACCCACGAAACTGCAGGTACATACGCCAAAGGTTAAATAATTATATGTGTTTTTTATATCTAGCATTTGCATATACTTCCGATTACTTAAAGTCGCACGGTTGCCATCTGCCAATTAAAGATATGCATAATTAAATTACTACACACACACACACACACAGGAACCAAAAGCACAGATTTCGAGTTACTTGTAGAATTTGTTAGGTATAAGGAATTTTAATAATTGAACAAAGCATACACGTACAGTTTCAGTAATATTTATATATATATATATATAGCCCAGTCTTACAAAAGAGTGACCACATTGTTCCAAGGGACGGGCAAACATTGCTCACTTGCGTTAAGACTAACAATCGATGTGCTATCAGTTCAAAGTTTCCATTTCCACTGAGAAAGTAGGTATCGTAATATTACAATTATTATAAGCACGATAATTCGAAATCAAATCTATTAGATTCAAATACAAATCCTACTTTCACTCTCCTATATGTTACTTCCATTTTTTTTTTTATTTATGAAAAACAAAGCGGACAAGTTTTTGTTATCTGATTCAGTGTATATAATGCTGGGTGATCACCTTCAAAATTGCCTCAATTGCCATTTTGGCAACATCTTAATATTCGCGGGCTTCCCGAACCGCGGGAAGTTCAGATCGATCACGTTTGTCTGAGGATTCCTCGAGCCCGAATACTGGCTTAAAAGTTTAAAAGTATACGAGCCATAGCTAATTTCAATCGGTGCTGATGCGTAAGTGGCAATAGGCTGGGGCTGTTTCTTGGTGGTGTTTGGATGTTGAAGTCAACGGAGATTGGCGCATCACATGGCATACTTGCGCGTCCATTCACGTGCCAATTCATTGTACTTCTCCCTGTCGGTTTTGTATATCCTGGCTATCTCTGGTACCAATGGATCATCTGGATTTGGATCACACAGCAAGGAGCATATTGACAGCAACACTGTAAAATAATCAATAACGTTAGGTTAGATTTGTAGTATAATTAATATAAAATACATATTTTCAAGCATAATTTAGAGATGATGTACATACCCTTTGATATAGTGAGTGCAGGAGACCATTGCGATCTTAAAATATCCAAACAGATACTTCCATTACTGTTGATATTAGGATGATAGATTCTAGTCGTAAATGCGACCTGTAAGCAATTAATAATAAAAGATTATATCTGGCGAATTTATTCCTGTAAAGTAAAATTAAAAATTTTATTTGTGTAATGTTACATACCTTAGGTGGTTTGAATGGATAATCTGTTGGAAAGTGTATTGTTAGGAAAAATACCCCTCCTTGATACGGGCTGTCGGGCTGAAAGAAAATTGAAATATATAAATCTAATATATTACATGCATTATTTTATAATCACAATCTCTATATTGCTAGTTCCTGATAATGTATATGTTTATTAGCAATCTATTCAGAGAAAATCATTGTGACATATAAAAAAAACAAAGTATATAAAATATAATTATCAATAATAATTTATTATTTATAATTATCAAGTTAATGGAAAATCAATATTATATTTAAAATCAATTTTTTTATATTTTGATGTGTATAAAAACTTTTGTATATAAAGTAAATTCAAAAAGATAATAAAATTTACATAAGAATGTATATCACTTACTGGTCCCATGATAGTTGCCTGCCAGTGGAATACTGGAAAAATATTATGTCCAATAGTTACATGCAAATAATTATTAAATCATGATATAAGTTATATGTTTATTTTAATATAATTTTGATATGTAGATAATCAATAATCAAAAATGCAATTCAAACAAGATCTTCTCTGGAATGTCAAGTCTGTGAGATCTACAACTTGATATATCGATATAATATTTATATACATATATATATATTTTTTTAAATTATTCTAAATATTCATTTATTTAGCGGATGCTTTTGTTACTTACAATCATCTCCCACAGGTCCAGCCGAGCATTGTGCTGGCGGATCTCTGCCAAGATCCTGAAGTTCCTGAAATTATAAATACAGAAAATAACCTTAAAAAGAGAGATTCTAGAAAATATCTGCATATATAATATTCACAGGAGAGAGAATGTTATTTTATATTATCTTAATTGATATTTTAATTATAAAAAATGATATATAATACCTTATTATGAATAAACTTTTGAAATAGGAGTGAAATATATAAATTTATGTTTAGAATAAAAATATAGATTCCCTTTATTTTTTTTATTATACAGCAATAATACTGTATACGTTGTATCCTTATTCATTAGAAGAGCTTTGCTATTTATAAACACATACATATAATACTGTTTTCTTGACATGTAGAACTTTCTAGATAATTCTTATACATATTGTCTAGTAATCAGATGTGAGATCTCGCTCTTATAAACAGAATCAATTTTGAAATCAAATTTATTCACGCGTTGTCTATATATAAAATCTCTTCTATAATATCTTCGTAACAATGAAAAATAAAAGTTAAAAACATTTAAATATCAATAACTATATAGCATATTATGTCGTTTGAATATTAAATAACTCTACGATTACATCAGCTATTAAGATCAAAATGCCATAGATAATGGAGATGATACAGAAGTTATAGAAATAGAAGAGATCTTTCGCTGAACTTTACAATCTCAATGAATCTAAAATTAAACTCTTCAATACTTGGTATCATAGTCCATTCTATGATGAATAATACGAATGACAAATCAAATATTATTGGCCTTCATAATATGGTGACGCACTTTATCAAGCAATTCACTTTGATATACACTATGAGATTTTTACAGCGAATCAAAAAGGGAAAAAAAAAAATTTGTCATGGACACTTTAAGATATATGGGGATACGTGTAAAAACACAAAAGCCCAGAGAAGAGGATGAAAGGAGAGATTTGAGAAACTATCTACAAGCTGATATATTGGAGCACGCGTATATAGAAGCAAAGTGTACGCATAAAATGCACGTTTTTGCGTTACTTCCGGCAATCTATAGAAACAAAACTACACAGAATCCCTTGGGGATTCTCACTGTCACCGCGGCCGAGCCCGGCTGGGGCGGCCGAGAGACGATACGCGCGGCCGCCATCTCCGCCATGCCGGTGCACGATGATCGCGGCCTACGGCGTCGACAACGGCGACGAAGGTCCACCCCGAAGGTGGCTCAGGCCGTTGAACGTTCGCCCGTTCGCTCACATTGCTACACATTAGCTCGACGAGAGTGCTCGTTAAGGGCGTAGAATTGTGCACGGCGTAACGCGACAACGCCCGGTTGGGTGGCGATTGCAACACGAACGGCCGACGTACGGCACCACGTACCTTATTAATTCGCTTTAAAGCCATTTGACGAACTGTGTGTTGATATTAACTGGCCGCAAACCAGACAGCGATACCCGCTAGCCGTGGATCTTTGATTAGGGATTGCAAGATGGCTGCCTTCTAAACGTAGCCCGACTGCGCTGGTCAAGCGCGCTGTCGCGAATCGCGCACGGTCAAACACGCGAACGTATCACGTAAAGAAAGAAGCGATGGATTTTTCAGGCCGCAGGCACGTCGGTCGCGTTTTTAACGCAACGCTTTTCGCCACCGTTCAAACGCCACGTGAGCACAGCTTATTCTTTTCAATCTCACAACCGGGCCAAGGCAGCCACCGCGGATTTCCTTTTATCGGCGCAATCAGCACTTTTTTTCCCCTCGTATGAGCCATCGCCGGCAGATGACGCAACGTGACGTTTCAACGCTGCGGCGAACATTCATGATGCACACACGCTCGTGGCGTCTCGTGTGTGTATGTGAATAATATATATATATCTCTCTCTCGCTCCGTGCATAAATATATATGATGTATCGAAAGAAAAATCAAAAGTACAGGAAGTTGCTGGCGAATAAATTTTCCCGATTGTCTATAGATCTCTATAATTACAACGCTTATTTACAGCGTTTCTCTACAGGATTTCTGTTCATTTATTGTTTGTCACACATTGAAACCAATTTTAAATTTAAATTACTAAGACGCATATACGTCGAATATATTGTCGTTTTTTATCTTAAATTATTCACGAATCAGATTCAAAGATGTTTGTCCTTCAAAAGACAGGCATATTTAATATTATGTATTCTGAATTAATGAGTTGATATATATCTATATACATTTGTGCCCATGTGCTAGTTATGCGCACTATGTATTTTGATCTTTATTTATAAGCTTTATTTATAATCATGTTTTTTTTTTTTTTCAAAGTTTGCAGTGGAACAAAAATTCGTTAACAAAAGAACGCTTTATATTTTCCTCGCATTCTTCGTCATTATTACAACGTTATAAACAAGCGATCGCACATTTAGTATCGCACATTATTATCTGCTTGTTGCTTTAAGATAATACGCACCCGAAGCCTTCTCGATAAAATATATGATGTAATAAAATGCGTGATAAAAATTTAAGCACATAAACAAAACAAGAGTTATACTACTTGTATATGATATTTAAATCTCAAGGATTTTCTTATTAAGGGATTATACACAGATAATTACAATGAGAGAGACATATAATTACATGACTGTTTTTATTAATTAAAAAAAACTACCCGATAGTAATTCAGGCCATCAACGAATGAATAAAAAAAACAATTTTATCGAAGTCTCTCGCATCCACGTTCAATCGATTTCATTTCACTTTCACGACATAAGGGTTGGAAAATTAACGAGAATAAAAAAATCGACGAGTAGTACGAGCCGACATCCATTAAATTTATCGCCATCGATTATGCCAAACATAACACAATACAGTAAACCCCAGCAACTGTGCTCTTGCCGCGTCAAAGTTTACGCGCATCGGAAGAAGAAGACGAAGGACCACTGCAAGAGGAAGAGGCAGGTCTTTGTATACAATCCGGAGGAAGAGATCTGGCACGAGCCCTATATGCATACCCTTCGTCGCGAATTTTCCGACGAGTCTGTCCTGTGCGACTCCAAGATCGAGTTACCTTGGAGGGACATTGCCCTGCCAGTGACAGGCATGAGAATTCGACCCGATGTCACTCTGACACTTGTAGCCGATCAGGAAGCGGACGAGGCTGAAGTAATAAAGCCCATCGAAACCGAGAAGAGGGATTCCACGGGCACCATGGCGCTACCATGGCAGGATCTGCTGATCACGGAGACTCTGCAGAGCACGCTGGTCGACCCGGAGGCCTGCGACTCCTCGGTGGAGATACCCTGGGGTGATTTGGCCTTGGAGAGACCAATGGAGATACGGCCGCCGAAGGAGGACAGGACTTGCGCGCCCGATGACGTCGAGATCCCGTGGGACGAGATTCTCGTGCCGCGAAATATCGTCATCGAGCCTGAGAAGAAGAGGAAGCATCCTTCGTCCGGACAACCGCCTCGCACGCGTGCCGGTGTCATTTGCGCTTCCTGTGGCGTGCATCCTTGCTGTGCGAAGACAAGTGCGGGAACTTCTAACTGGACTGCTACGTGCATGTAGTAGTTTGCGCGTAGACGTATTTATATATATATATATATGTATATATATTTTTTTTTTATATATGTAATTAAAAATAAAACAAAATCCTTTAACAATTTTGTTGAACGAATATTAAAAGTCAAAAACGAATATTAAAAATCAATCTTTTAATATGAATTTATAAAAATAATAATTGTGCTAACAATAAGAAAAATAAATAAAAAACATGCAGGGAATTTAACAAGTACATTATCGATAATCAAGTGCTTGATTTATCGGCTGTTAAGAACTTGTTGCTGCGACCGATCTGAAAGATGGCGCCACCACAGAGTCGCGCTTCGGGAGAATTCGGGTACGTTCGGTCCTCACGATTCGTAATACGCCGTCAGTCGGCACTTGCCAGCGAACGTGAATGGTTGTTTGTTGTAAGTAGACGCGAAAGATAGTGCCCTGAAGAAGCGTCGTGCGCGCAATAATCGAAAATGGCGTAGTAAAACCTAATGCGTTGCCGCAACTCTCGTCGCGTGTTGTCACGAACAGTGATCTTGTAAGATTCCGCGGCGTCGTTTCTCTCTCTCGCGTAGACAATCGACCGAAGTGCGCCATGATCGTGTTGGGCCGACGAACCCGTCAACGTCGTTGAGTGAAAAATTTGTACAGTGTGCATCCCGAGTGTGCTTTAGTGAATCGCGCGGATCGAGATAGGAGATCCCGGCGGTCGATGTCGTCGTAATCGTTCTCATTGTTGTTACGGCACGTTCGCCAACGACGACGCTGACGCGAACGGCCTGAACGTCGCGACGCGACACATCGTGACGTTACGTGACGCGTGACACGCGAGTCACGCAATTACGCGCGTCTTGGCCGCGACGTGCATGAACCCCGACAAAGCGAACGAGGAATGGCCTGTGCGTTCGCGAACAGGATTCGGTGATTCTGCCCGTTCGTGACAACTTGACGACTCGCTCAAATCCGGGCGAGACCAAGATGGCGCCACCGGCATTTTGACACTTGCCGAAGGACGATCCGTCAGCTGGACTTCACCGTCGCCAGCGGGCGATCCGTCTATTATGAGCAGAGAATTCTACGTACCCTGTACGCCTTATACCTATCAAGTAAGTTCCCGAGATCTAATTATTTTCATTCGCGTCCCCCAATGGCGTCCTTTATATCGATGTTTTCGCATTATTAGAGGAAGTAGCCGGTAATACTTCAGGGACGTGTCTCGTAAAGCAAAACAAAGTAAAAAAATCTATACAAACATATAGGTCTTACAATGTTTAATTATAATAACAGTAACATATGCGAAACAGTTTACAATATGTTACAAATATTAGTCTCTCAAAATGTTTCTTTTTATTATGAAGATACTAATGTTATATTAATCTGCGATTAAATTTTAATTTTCTTTAAAGAAGTATTAATACTTTAACAATCTGCTTGCACGATATCATTTCTTCTTTGTATGGCACATTTGATATCAAAATGTCTCATATAGCTGATAATTTTTATTATGAAGATACTAATGATTTTTTTAGATCCAAAGAGAGAGAGAGAGAGAGAGAGAGAGATGGTATAATTTTAGTACTTATATTGAAATGAAAACATATTTCTAAGCATTTTATTTCACAATATAAAAATATTTTTTATCAGCATTTGAAATTATAAAAAATATAATATATTAATTAATATAATAATGTAATATAATATATTAATTATTATTATTTTTTGTTTAAATAACATAAATTTTACAGAATATTATTGAGCTTTTACAGCATATTAACATGTAATTATAAATTATGCATTCTGAGAATATATAACTTATTTTGCTTTGATAAATTTTCAATTTTATCAAACATAAATTTTCAATTTTATCAAACATATTCTTAACGTAAGAATAGCAAGATTTTTATACCACGGTATAGTTGACAAAAGCCACTCGACCCTCGACCAAATGCAATGATCGATACAGAAAATGCACGACGTTCAAATTGATAAGTAGAATTGTGCCGTTGGATAAGTAGAATTATACCGTTGATTTGCTCTGTCTTTATTAGCGATATGATTCAGATATGAGTGATACGGCCGCTAATAGGGAAGCTTCGAAATCAGAGAATTCAGATATTCCGAGACAACTAGCTCTCCCGGATAATATAAATCTTAGTCAATTTGGTCATAGAAAGCCCGATAAGCAATCTTTATTCTCCGCGATAAATCAAAAGGTGAGAATATAATATTTAAGATTCTTCGATAGTAGAACATGATTGAAAGGATACAAATATTTTAAAATAATTTGCAGATATATTCTAGCTGATTTAATTTACATCATTTCGTCATACATTCTATAATATAAACTTTTATAGTAAACTTAACTTGTATTTTTGTATATTTATTGGATTATATGCAAAATGTGATATCGATCAGAAATTCTAATGGAGATGTAAAGACGATTTAATTTCTGTTTTTATTATAGCGCGTAATTATTGATATTTTACGATTAATTGCGGAAATTTCGATTTTATGAACGACGGCAGAATGCAACTATATCTTGAGTGGCTAGGCAATTAATTTATTATATAATTTATTACATTTATTATACCATTAATTAAGCAACTTAATCGGCTCTGCTACATAAGGCGGAGGAGAAACAACACGCGTATTTTACGATCAATAAAAAATGAACGTTGTCTAACGGATATAATGCACAGATTAGATCGAAGCTGCCCACTTTTCATAATCCTTTGAAGCGTTTTATAAAATCGAAGAATCAAAGGGGAATTGATTCCGAAGAAAAGATAAATCACCGCGTAGTTGATTCTCCCGTTTTTAAAAAAATCGACGAGCTCTCGAATCTTGACAGTGGTAAATATTAATATATTCTTAATGAAATGAAATATTTTTTAAAAAAGAAAAAGGAGAGAGATATATCTTACTTTTCTCTTTCTCTCTCTTTCCTTCTCTTTCTCCTATCTGTCTTTGTCAGCGTCTACGCTGAACGAACAAAGTACGGCGAAGAGCGATACCTCGATTTATCGATCCGAGCATCATTCCGTCGCGGATGCTGCAAGGACGCGTGAATCTTGCCAGGACCTCGCCAGTTATTTCTCCGAACTCGACCCCGATGAACCTTCGACCTCCGCTACGAACACCATCATGCTCTCCGCGAGTACCTTCGATCGCGATGTCGAACCGAGTAAGACCTCATGGAAATTCAATCCCACGTTACCGGCTTATTCACGAGATAGATATAGAATCACACACACACGTAACATTTTCACTCGAATCATGTATTCGGAAACGGAAATTCAAAATCGGAATAAATTTTCTTGAAATTATTTTCTCTAAATTATTCCGATCAAGTTATGATTTATATCATAACATGAGCCGGAAATTATAAAAGATATACATTTTCGTCTAAAAGTGCAAAAGTATTTAGTGATAAATTATAAATTACAATTCGATATTCAGAAATTACGCGCGTCGTGATAAATTCTTAAAATATTTATATAAAGTAGGATTTTTTATTTACAATCAAAAGATATTAATATCTTGGTATTGGCTAATTCAGTGACCACATTGCGTTAAAGCTCTCGACTATTTCAAATCGATAAAATTTAGAATTAACACTTAACTTATTGTTAGAATCAAGTATCTTTTAAATGCGTGAAAAAATGTCAAACGCAGCGCCAATTTAACATCTCGCTTCCGTTCGTTTTTCTTTTGCACGACGCGCACGACGTTGCAGACGAGAATCTGCAAAGTACGACAATGACATCGACGACTTCCACGTCACTCGGAAGCTCGGAGATTACCGAAACCGTCTCGAGTTCTATGAACACCGAGGAAGTGTCTGCAACGGATTTTATGGACGCGTTACAACACGGTGCCATTGTCGCGGTGACTCCTATGGAATTGGCGCTCTCCGCTCAATTAGGGTATCGCTGATTACACTTTTCATTTGTCTGATTCATGAGAAATAATATTTCTCAAGTAAAATGAAAATTTTTTTTTTTTTTAATTGACGTGAAAGTAAGGGAAGATTTTTTTTTTAATCTTGATATTTAGTATAAAATATTTAAGGATTAATTTGACAATATATATTCTACGAGATATACATCTCTCTCTGCGCTTTTTCGCTATAGATCCTTATCAGTTTTAATTTTGTATTGTTTACATTTTTATGTGTCAATTTTGTTTTTCTCTACTTTTGACATGAAGCCTCGATACCGCATGATCGAACAGATATCGAAGCAGATATCGAATTTGCAAGTGCGTATAGAGACGATGTTGCGGCTCGAATCCGCAAGCTCGCTCGCGTGCTAACCGCGTTAAAAATCGGTAACGGTATCGCCATTGCGGTCGGTTTACATTCGATCAACAGTATCGGCGACACTCATCGTCAGTAGGATACCCGCCGGAAACGGTCTCGACTGGTTGATCAGCTTGACCCTTATTGGCCCGCGTAAACGATACAGACGAATGAACTTTCGAATGAGATGCCTTGTCGCTTAAGAATTGCACGCAAACATATTTTGCGCTATCATTTTGTGCTTATTAAATGAAACATTCGATACAAGAGGTCTGACTACCTGAAAATAAGAAATCGTATCTCTCTAAAGTTAATGTTTACGGATGATTTATTTTCTAAAAATGTTTCTCGTATATTTATTTATTTATTTTTCGATACAGAGGTCTGACTACTTTAGAATAAGAAATCGTATCTCTCTACAGTTAATATTTACGGATGATTTATTTTCTAAAAATGCTTCTCGTATATTTATTATCTAATATTTCGAAACCATCATATCGCCAAAATATTCTTCAAGGAATATCATTCAATCATAATTCTTATATATTGAGATATCTTTTATAGACATTTTTACGGTATTTCTAAACGCAATACATATCGTCTCATTGAATTCGAACCGCAACGAGTTTTACAGGTAACGCGGGATGCAGAACTGCATTTTCGCAGCTCTTGCTCACTGGATCGTACGGAGATCCTGTTTGATTACTGTCTGTGCTATATGCGAATGGCGGTTACGTCTCTCGGCGTGAGTCACTCGTTTCACGTACACGCGTCTACATCAGGGCATATCTATCAATCATGTCGTTTGAGAAAGTTGCGTGAGGTAACGCGCGCATTGAAACATTAGTTTTGCCGTAAATATGAAATCAGCCGCCGCCGGCGATACCGGTAATTTTCATTTCGCTTAAGTCTTTTATCTCGCTCTTATCTCGTTGCTAATCCACTGCCATTCGTCATTGATTAAACTGAAATCTTCAAATAAATTATTTATCTCATCACTCTTCAACAATTTTTACTTTTAAATATAAACTCTTTGTGTATAAGATTTTAGCAATCTTTTTTAACTTCTTAAATAATTGTAAATAATAAATTCTATTTGTGCATTTTTATTTAATTTTATAATTGAGGAAAATCAGAATTTATTTTGATTGCAAATGCGACATAAATACACTATAAAAGTATTGTTCAATTTTCATTATCTTTCGTTTTTCTTAATTACTGATTTAAAAAAACACAATGTGATATCCGGTTAAGATTAATAATGCGTCGCAGTGACAATATCAGTTATAGCGATCCAGTCATATGAAAGTGGGAAGAAGTGCACTTTCTCTGTGCGCGATATAGATAGGAATTCGAGCAAATTTCTCTTCTCGAGCTTTACTTCGCTTACTTCTTTTCGTGGTCTCATCCTTTGTCCACTGCGGATTCTCTTTAATGAAAGCTTAAATTACGCTTTATCGCGGAATAAGTTCGGTGATTTGTCGGGCAGGCAGGTGCATCCTGGCACGGAATATGGATTCGGGACATCGTACCATGGAGCGGTCGATGTCGGCTTAAGTAGTATACAGAATGTTTCTCAACTCTATTGAACGAAAAGCCTTCATCCAGGAATTCTTAATTTAAAAGTTGATATTTTGCAATAACGAAAATTAAACTGAAAGCTATTATATTATAATTTTTAATATTAAATAATTGATGCAAATTTAAATAATTATTTTATTAAAATAAAGATTAAATGAAGAAGACTTTTCAATTCCAGAGAATTAATTTGCACACAGAAAATATTTCATTTACATATGATTGCAT